CAACTCCCAATTGTGTATTATATGATTTTTAAAGACTTTTGCGAATTCAAAAAGTTTGACGGTACTTAATAAAGGCTTTTTAAGATTAAAAGTATCGAGTTATTCAATATAGATTTTCATAGACTGTTAAAAAATCGTTAAAAGTTATCGAGTATTCAAAATATTAATGACTTTTGTATAATTCTTCACGTATTAATGTAGATGGCGGGTTGGGGATTGGAATGGCCATTACCTTTCCTGCCCCCATCGAGAAATTTGGGGAAGCTGGACGGTAGTAATGCGGGACAAAGATTAAAAAAGAATCTCATTTACCATCTCGTTTAATTAATTAATTTTTAATTTTTAAAAAATATGTAATAACAAAAATAAAATAAAACAATTGGGCCTTGATTGGAAAATGGGTGGGGACCATGGTCATGTCCTTAGGAGTGGCCGAGTGGGGGAAAAGAATCGGAACATTTAGGATCAAATCGAACTTCGATTCTTAAAAAAAAAAAAAAAGGGGATGAGTCACATTCTTGACGGTCCTCACCTGCTATGCCCTAAGATTTGGTGAATAAAGTAAATCGCAGATTATGCCTCCAATGGTACAAGGTGGAAGACTGCTTGTACACATGTACTTACCCAATGGTCAAATCTATATTTCAGGATTCGAACCCTTGACGCGACGGCCTCAAGTAAAGTTGGAGTTTTTCCACATTCCCCTTTTACCACTTAGAGATGTGCAATGGGGGCAATCAAACTTCAATTCTAAGAATGTTTTCAAATGATTCTAGTTCTTAGAACTTAGAACTTCTAATTGAGATTTTAATTCTAAACCCAGAACTAAAAATTGAAACCAGTAGAACCAATTCTATTTTTTAGGATTTGTTTTTTAAATATTCCATGATGACCCAGTTAAGTAATTAATAATTTTCAATTTTGACATAAAAATTTAATTCTTTATTTTTTTTTTTTTTCAGAAATTTGGNCAACTCCCAATTGTGTATTATATGAGAATTTTAAAGACTTTTGCGAATTCAAAAAGTTTGACGGTACTTAATAAAGGCTTTTTAAGATTAAAAGTATCGAGTTATTCAATATAGATTTTCATAGACTGTTAAAAAATCTTTAAAAGTTATCGAGTATTCAAAATATTAATGACTTTTGTATAATTCTTAGCGTATTAATGTAGATGGCGGGTTGGGGATTGGAATGGCCATTACCTTTCCTGCCCCCATCGAGAAATTTGGGGAAGCTGGACGGTAGTAAGGCGGGACAAAGATTAAAAAAGAATCTCATTTACCATCTCGTTTAATTAATTAATTTTTAATTTTTAAAAAATATGTAATAACAAAAATAAAATAAAACAATTGGGCCTTGTTTGGAAAATGGGTGGGGACCATGATCATCGTCCTTAGGAGTGGGGAAAAGAATCAGAACATTTAGGATCAAATTGAACTTCGATTCTAAGAATGTTTTCAAATGGTTCTAGTTCTTGTAACCTAGAACTTCTAATTGAGATTTTAATTCTAAACCCAGAACTAAGAATCGAAACCATTAGAACCAATTCTATTTTTTAGGATATTTTTTTTTTAAATATTCCATGATGACCCAGTTAAGTAATTAATAATTTTCAATTTTGACATAAAAATTTAATTCTTTTTTTTTTTTTTTCAGAAATTTGGTTCCAACCCATACTACAAAAGGGTTAATTATCAAAGAACCCTATGACTTTCAGTTTGGTTCCAATTCTACACACCCTACCCTGCCTACTCGTCCCTGTCTCTTTTACTATTCGGGACGATTTAGAGACAGATAATTTTGTTAAGTATAGAATGTCTAACCGTATAATCAACAGTTAAACCGTTGATCATCAATAGCATAATAAATAACATTGCTCTAACATGTAGGCTTCATTTTGATCTTGTGCTTGACTTATACCGATATGATCAACCATTTTTTCGAAATAAATAAAAAAAGCAATAAACGATTTACTACATGTACTCATTCTATAAGTCAAACATTAATATTAGCCTATTTCAAAGAAAGTCATATTTATAATAGATCGAGGATGGTAAGAAATCCTTATTCATTGTCTCTTCCTTAATTATGAAAATTTGTGTCGTTCGTCTCTAATTTATTAGTGTAGTTGCAATATCATCCCCACTTAATTTTATAATTCATCCATGATCCTACCCTACAAGTTAATTACACATTTACTCTTTTCCACCGTATTCAAATAAGTGCATGTTTGTTAGATGAATAAATTAAAATTTAAGTGATTATAAGTTATTATGAATGCTATAAAATATGTCGATAATAAATAAATAAATAATAATTGTGTGTCATATGAAATGACGGGATCAAATGCATGTTTGACCATAATTAATTAAAATCTAAACACATACCAAAGGCGTCAAGTTATTGAACCTCTTAAATAATAAATGTAAGGATATAGATCCATTTTAGATATCAAACACTCAATAAGCCCCCATTTGGTGCACATTTTGAAAGTAAGAATTTATTTTTTACTGTTGATGTGAAAAGAAATATGTAGTTGAAAAAGAAGGAAAAGTTATTAATATGATGAAAAATATTATTTTATTGAAAAATGTGTGGAAATGAGTAGAAGAATGAGAATAAAAAAATAATGTGGACCAAACATGGCCTAAATATGTTTGATCAGAAATTATTAAAATTCACTTGCCAAAACCATACGTGATTGGACCTCTTAAATAGAACGATAAGGATCCATCTAATATATCAAATCACTCAATTGACATAGGCTATCGATGATCGACTATCGACAATTTGATATAACATTACAGTAACATGTATACTTCATTTTTATCGTTGTAATTAACTTATATCGATATAATCAACATTTTTCTCGAAATAAATGAAAAACGAAATGATCGATTTAACTATACATACACGTTATATAAGTCAAAGATTAATGTCTATTTTCACAGAAACCCGTATTTATAATAGATCAAAGATCGTAGCAAATGTGTAGACGTCGTTATTCTATCTTAAGAAAAATTATGTCACTGGTATCTAATACATTAGCTTATTTGTAATATCGTCCCCCCGTTAATTTTATAAGGCGTCAATTATCCTAACTTATAAGTTTATGTGCTCATCTGGTTGACCAAAAAATCAAATTATAAACAATTATAGGGAGGCTTTTGCAAATAACAAAAAGATCCGGGGCTTCTTACAAAATCGGTACAGACAAGTCTCGTTCGAATTTTCTGACCGTTGGGGCCCGTTGTACATATCAGAGTAACGGTTAAGACTTTCGAAAATTCTTTAAAAATAGAGACCAAAACCAACAAATTGCACAAAAATACGTCTACCCATCCCCTCCCCCACCCCATCCCCACCAACGTCGAAGCTTCAATGGGCTGTGTTTCATCAAAACTGATAAGGAAAGAAATCGAGCAAGAAAATCTACATGAAAATGGAGATTTTCCAAACCACGTGGTGTCTCTCACTTCAAGTACCTATGGTGCTCTCAAACTTGACAAAGAAACTCATCAGCTATTTCAAGAAAAACAGCAACAAGAAGTGCAGAAGAGCACAGAAAAGTTCGTGGTTGAAGCAAAGGAATCACCGCCTCGTGAAGAGCCTTCGGAGATTATAAATACTTGGGAGCTTATGGAAGGGCTTGAAGAAGAAGGTCCAGGTTCTGTTCGATCCAAGAGAAGTCCAAAATCAAGAAGTTTTCTCGATGGAAGAAGCCCCTTAAAGTTATTGAATCAAATGGGTTCTCCGATGAAGTTTAAGAAACTTGGAGGAAAAGAGAATAAGGAAAGAGTTATGGGATCAACAGAAAATAGCCCTAAAACATTTTTGAAAGAATGCAATAATTTGAAGGAGAATTCGAGGAAACCTTCACCAAGGTTGTGGGCTTCGATTAAGGGAAGCCCGAATGCTTCAAGAATTAACAGTTCAAAGATTGATTCTGGAATGGTTTCGTCGAGGAGGAGTTTAGGCCCACTGTTTAATCCAGAACCAGTGTCATCTTTAGAAAAAGAGGGATCTAAAGAGGAAGAAAAGGTGAAGAAGATTGTTTCATCGACATACACTACTCGAAAATGGAAGAGTTTCCGGGATTCAGAGTCCATTCTTGGATCATTCAGCGAAAAATGCCCACCAGGCGGTGAAAATGCAGTTATCGTGTACACCACCACATTGAGGGGCATTAGGAAGACCTTCGAGGATTGTAACAAGGCTCGATCAATCATCGAATCGCACGATGTTCATATGTTTGAGCGTGATATATCGATGCACGCGGTGTTCAAGGAAGAACTAAGAGGTCTAATTGGTACAAAAGACGTCAAAGTACCATTAGTGTTTGTGAAGGGAAGGTTGATTGGTGGGGCTGATGAGATGGTAAAGCTGGATGAGGAGGGTAAATTGGAAATTTTGTTCGACGGGATCCCCCGAGCAGCTGCCGGGTGTCGCAGGTGTGGCGGGGTCCGGTTCTTGATGTGCACGAGGTGCTATGGCAGCTGTAAGTTATTGGATGAGGAAAGGAAGAAGAGTGTCAAGTGCAGCGAATGCAATGAGAATGGATTGATTCAGTGTTCAATGTGTTGTTAATTATGTAAGTTAACAAGCTTTCAGTAGATCAATTGAAAATATTTTGATGTCGTATTGATTTCTATTCTTTATTAGTGAAATTTGAACTCAGGACTTAGGTTATATAGACGGGATTCTAAAAATGGATTTAGGTCCCTATCGAGTATGGCACGTGCCGTCGTTTGAACTCCAGGCATGTATCATGGATATTAAGGTTTAAATTGTTGGTAGTTTGTTCCATTGTTGTCCTATTTATTTGTCTCTGGTTTTTGTTGTATTGTTTTTGAAATGTGTGGAATATTTTGGAATGTTGTTCCATTGACAATTTGAAGTTTTGTGTCTGTCTTCTAGTTTCATATAAGCTCAAATTCTACCTATATATGACAGAAGAAACAGAACCAAAGTACCATTTCTATACTCAGCTAAACAAGATTATCAAAATTACTTTTTCGGTTACCAAAATGTACTGTTATGAGCAGTAAAAGTGACTTTTCTATATGATCGCTTCTATTGATAATTGTNAAATTACTTTTTCGGTTACTAAAATGTACTGTTCTGAGAAGTAAAAGTGACTTTTCTATATGATCGCTTCTATTCATAATTGTCAAATATTAAATTCAATCTATGTTAGCCAATTGGATCGGTAGTTGAGTTTAATCGTCAGAAATCATACCGGTAATTTTATTGACATAACGGTTTTTTTATCGCAGCCTTTGTTCATTATTGCTCTTATGACCTAATTTTTTACTCCATCACATTCTTGTCCGTATGGTTTGTGTTCAAATTTCTATTACTGTGCTTTGAAAAGAGTGTCGAATTATGTTCCTTTCGAGTCTTTAGATGTCGTGCCCTCTTAACCGATTTTTCAGATAAGAATTAGCATTGAGAAAGCTGTTAGCTAATGAAAGGTCAATGATCGAAATGGAACAAAATAAAAGATGAAAACATAGCACGACAATGAACAAAAATTAGAAACCTTTAGTGCAAATAAAAAAGGTGCAATAAACAAAAAATTGCAGCTTAATATAACCACTCATTCATACCCGTCAACAAACTTTATCAACGTGACATTGTTGCCTTGGTTAGATTAATTAAGGACGTTCATCGGTAAAGAGAATTGTCTCCTTGTTCTCATCAAACTCCTATCTCGGAAGTAGGAGTGGAGCCAGCCCATCGAAATAGGGGGTCCCAGAGTTGAAGGGGTGGGGGGCCTACGGGGGTTTAAGTTTTTTATTCATTTAAGAATAAAATGGTAAATACAAAAAATAAAATTTTAAAATAAAAAAAATTGGGGGGTCTGGGTCCCCCCGGACCCCCCGCCTCCGCCCCTGCTCGGAAGTGAAGCAAAATGGGCACTCCTAAGAAATCAAGAAGACAATGGCAATAGTCTCTTATAATTACTAATGTTTTTTAAAAGTTGTTCTCGATTACTAAATTGCCCACAAACAAGTTGTTTTCGACCACCTAGGCTGAACTCACCTCGACATAACTAATCCATCCATTTGTTTTCTTGTACATCTGTGTACAACACAATCAAGCAGAGTCCCAAGGCCAAAACAGTTGTCACAAACGACTAGGTTTGCAAATATTGAATTAATTCGAGGAAATCCGACCCTACCAAATTCTGATTTTCGAGGAACCAATAAACTCCAAAACATAACCAAAGTTGTAAATAATTTCATTTTCCCCTTTCTTTATTGATTTGATACTCTTCAAATAGAAGCATAAATTACATAATCCACTGATCCTAGTATATCAATTAGACAATATTGTAAAAACAATATCTTTGCATTCTTTTTTCATTTTTTAGTGAATTTTCATTTTCTCTGTCAATTATCTTTTGTTCTTGTGCACCATAATATTTACTCCATATTATACCATATATATTTATTCTCATATTCACAACAATAGCCATGCCCGGTATAACTCCTCTTCCATATGCCAGTGGCTGCAAAGACAAAAGCACAATCAACAGGAGAACAATCAACGGGAAGTCAATATCTCCTCTTCCATATGTTAGTGGCTGCAAAGACAAATGCACAATCAACAGGAAGTCAAACGGCTAATCACTTTTTNTTAAAATAATAAAACTAAAAAAAAATCTATCCCTACCCACCTCCCAGCACCGCCCCATCTTTATCTTCTCCTCCATTACTACACCACCACCATCGGCAATTACTGCTTTTTGACCTTTACATTACTTCTTCTCCATTACTACACCACCACCGTCGGCCTTCTTTTTGACCCTAACATTACTGCTTCATCAAGACGGGCCTCCTCAAACTATTCTTACTTCTTGACATTTAAGGTCGATTTTCTTGAACTTCATGGTGTAGGCAACGAGAAGCTTCTGCAAGTCGCTAAATTCAGACTCCAACTTTTTCATATGCTAATCCACTCCTTCACCCACTCCATTCCAAAATTCCAATATCCCAAAATTCACTGCACCACTTGATGTTTGTTTTTTAAACTTTGTTAATATGTTAATTACCTATGTAAGGGTTGGATTTGGATGAAAAGCTTTCCAAACCTTTCATGATTGATGGGTTTTTGGAGTTTGATTGATGGGTTTGATAATTGTGGGAAAAAAGGGAATTTAGAGATGTGAGATTCTTATGTGTAGGTTTAGAAGTCGCAACTAGAATAGCAAGCAGAGGTCCTGAGTGGTGCTGACGTGCATTTCAAACTCTTGTCGGAGGGGGAGGTCGACATTTTTTCTGTTTTTTGGTTTTGTTTTGAGGTGGGCGTGAGGAGGAGGAGGAGGAGATTTTCCTTTTATTTTTTGATTTGATTTATATGAAATTGACGAAAATGCCCCTACTTTGTCAAAATATTCATATTTTTTTTTTGTCATTTTCAGGTCACCTAACCGTCAAATGAATTATTTCCATCCAATTGGACTTTATGTGCATGTTGATGAAAGGTTGGGGACCTTCATTGGCACAAATTAAAAGTTATGATAAAGCCTACAAGAATTTAAAAAGTTAGGGACTGCTTCAATTTTTCTTAAAATTTTAAAGTACGAGAGTAGTTGAAGGGGGAGGATATGATTGTAAATTGATTGGAAATGGATCTGATCTGCCTATATCCGATTCGATAAGAAAAATTATCCGATCCGATCCGATAAGAAAATCCAACAGATATTTGATTATTAAATTCATATCCAATTTGTTATGTTATCAGATATCCGATCTGAAATTAATAAAAATTAGGAAA